GCGGAATGTCCGTTGTACAAGAAGGAGAGGGAAGTGTACGTGACTGAGCTGGGAAAAATAGATGGAACGTACAGGGAGATGTTTGAGGCATGGAATAGAGAGGAAAGGACGGTAGCTGTAGTGGGGCATAGGAGGTGGGTTGAAAAGGCGGGAAGGGATATCGTTACGATAGACAGACTAGGGAAGACATTTTTGAGCCACCTTTGGCAAAGTAGAAAGGAACGATTGGCCATCGGTGATCGGTCCTGCGGGAACAATGCTCCGTCCTCTCGAGGACGCGTGGTCAATGGTCTAACCGCTAAGACATGCAAAACATAAGAGTACCCCTCCTCCCCCTCCATCCCTCGCTCAGGCCTGCAAAAAAGAAGAGCAGCACACACATGCGGAGAAGCGTCCAGGCTCCGCTCCGGCGGTGGCACCACCGTCGTCCTCAAAGCGACGGATGGGACCACCCAGAAGAGAGGCCGGGCATGCTATGCAGCTTACCTTGATGAAGGGCGCCTGAGACATCTTGGCGACGCGTCGAGCGATCTCCGTCTTCCCGCAGCCCGTGGGACCGATCATCAGAATGTTCTTCGGAATCACGTCCCCCTGATCGAAGCGGCACAAGGGGAGGGGAGGGGAGGTGAGCCGAGAGATGAACTAGACAAAGAAGCCAGCCCGATCAATAGAGGGAGCGCGAAGTGTTGAGCAGCACGAACACACAGTGCGGTCGGATCTACCAGTAGATCCTAAGGGAAGGGGGTATTCCGACAACCAGGGGACGTTGTATTGCTCATGCCGACAGTTTCAGATATTACGATCAAGCGAGGGGGGAACACGAAATACATAATCGACACATGGTGTTTTTCTTCGTCCGGGCGGGACACCTACGGTGCTCCTGTCAAGCGAAGGGAAAACAAACTGAAGATGCGGGCACAGTGGACAGCGACAGCAACACAGATAAAATCATTCTAGCTGAACGAGGGACCAAAAGGCAAACCGGACCGCTATCGTGTCAAGGTCGCTACGGACGTCGCGCTTCTCGCCGAAAACTACACTATTTCGCACTTCGACTATCTCCTAGAATAATCGGCTACATCTCCCGAAGTTGAAGAAGCGACCGCTTGAAACGCCTGCGGCTCCCGAGGAACAAGGCCGGAAGTAGGAGACTAATGCTCACCCTCAAATCTTCATCAAGCTTCGCACGGCGCCAGCGATTGCGCAGAGCGATCGCCACCGCCCGCTTAGCGTCCGACTGAAGAAAGCAGCATCGTTGCAGCAGGGGGTGGTAGCATGTGGTAGGCGGGGGCGGGGGCAAGGACGGAGGGATCTCTCATCAGTGTCGGTACGTGCTGGCCAACGAAAACGGTACTATGTAGAGAATGACACGAGCTGACTACATGATTTCCCTGTATCCCACGCGGTTTGTCGTCCCTACCGGCACAGTTTTTCAAGGGATGTTTCTGAACGCCTACCCCTACTACCGTATCGGAAGCGTGGAACTAGACTCAGTAGACCCAATCGATGTTGGACACAATCGTCTTCGTCTCTAACTTTACTCACGACGACCGCACACATGTCGAGGTCTTGTCGAGGGATAATCGTGCTTGGAAACGCTACGAGCGTGGTGACTATGGTCCACAACGTGTGAGGGCAGCTCTCGTGCAAACAGCGTTGACGGGATGAAGCAACCCTCGTTTCTCGAGCAATTCACGAGAGAACGTGCAGGCTGCTGCTCGTGCTGCTGGCGCTTCGCCCCGGTTCAAAGTAGTGTTGCGCACATCTGATAGGAAAGTAACTCTTCGTCATCGACACCTCCCCCAAACATCTAAACATCAAGAGCAGCACTGGATGTAATTTACCACTGTCTCCATTTAGGTGGTAGGACAGTGACAGTGACAACAGCAACGCGCGCTGCGAAGATTGTGGACAAGTGCTTCTCATGCCTCGTTTTTGCGGACCGCAGTCTTGGTGGTGACTCATTTTAATATTTTTTTCTCTTTTATTGTCCCTCTCTCTTTTCAGAAAAAAGAGCACACTTCAGAGGGGTGAAACTGCGACGACGTGACAAGCTAACAGTAGCCTTCTCGAGGATGTTATTATACTTCTCGTACTTGAGGATGTTATTTGTAGAGAGTGCGGGATGGGGTTGGGGGTTAGAGTTAGGGATAGAAGGGGAAACGAAACCTTCTCTCTGTTTCATACTACAACAGATAAGTAGTAGATAAGGAGTACAACTCTCGCGAAGGCTGTCCGAGGTCATCATTCCTACCTGTCCGACGATGTGCTCCTCCAGCTGGTCCACCATCTGCTGCGGCTTCATCGCCGTGCCGATGTCCTGAGGCGGTAATTCCAAGTTCACGAAGGTCACCTGGTACGATCGCAACCGCGCCATATGTAGCAACAACGCCGAGGAGAAAAGCGTTCGAAAAAACAAATTCCAGTGGTGGTGGGGGCACAAAAACGCCGTTTGAAAAAGCGCCGTCGAAATTGCCGAGCACAAATTGAATCACCAAGTCATTCTGTGCTTTGAGCAACGCCGGCCAGCATGAATAGCGCCGGTCGATTCGCCGGGCGCACACCGGCTGTATTGAGTGGGCCCCACTCTGTATGCGAGAGGCGAAGGAGCCTATTAATAGCGGCACCCCGACGAGATGTTGAACACGATATTGGGGGACAGGTATTGACCACCTCATGCACTGTTTCAGACCCTGAGCTGCCACTGCGGTCTGCGCGCTGCTTGTGCACTTCACGCCAGAGTCGGAACATATTATTCGAGGCACCATGAATTGACCCTCGGTATCGTTATTTCCAGCTGACTGCTATTAATACCTATTTCCGCCACCCCCGTCATCTGGAAACTGCGGAAAGTTGGTTGCCGGTCGGAAAGAAGGTAAACTTTCGCGCACATGCAGGGGGGCCAAGCGTGGAAAGCTTTTTTCCTGCCGCTGGTCGGAAGCGAGGGGCCACCCACACCCACCGCTGTCATTCAACGGCGGGTGGTGACGGAAACGTTCCCGCTTGAGACTGCCCGTGTTTCGCAGTCAGATCGGTGCTGCCGCACTTGCACAAACGCAGCATCAGCGAACTACACATGGACTGCTGCTGTGCATCGGTCTGAGCACTGCTGACGCTCTCGGGCCGCGCTGACTATCTATGCATATGTAAGAAGGAAAGCATGTACACAATTGCGGACACCATCCCCGTCGAATGGGCAAATACGGACGACAGCAGTAGCGCTGAGTACATCAATCGGCACTTGAAGAACGCGAGAGCAATCCTACTGCTATTGTAATGTCTCAGCAGCTACAGCAGTAGCGAATTCAGCAGGCGCTGTTGAATGTTGAATATCCAGCCGCCCACGTTCGTACCTTGGGGTCTTCGTCGCCCACTGCTACCGGTGCTGCGGAGCACAGTGCCCTCGCCGCCGGCAACGCGGCGACAGACCTCCTCTTCGTCGTGGCTGAAGCTAACACCCTGGCCTCACGTCGCCATGCGCTGACTGCCTCGACGGATGTCTTGGTGGCCTGCGCACACAGCCCTCGCAGCAAAGTAGGTGTCATACCTTCCCTCCTGTTTCCTTTCTACTCGAAAGATAAAAGACAGAGGATGTGGCTGCTAAAGCGACGCGACCAAATCGCAAGGACTAGCGAGGCCGAGACTTTTACCGTGTGTATCCTTGGACCAGTACGTCAAGTGCTATTGTGTTTGACGCGTGTGAAGGTCTGCGTCCTGCTTCTGCGATGCTCTGCTTCCCTTGCATACGCGGTGCCCCCGTTCGTGGGAGTTGCACAAACCTCTCGGGATTTCGACTACCTGAGGGCAAAAGAGAAAACGCCGCACACGATGCAAGCAAGTCGCAAGGGAAGGCGGCAACTGGTGTGCTCGTGAGAGAGAAATCAGCTCTGATTCTAAGGGCTAAGCTGAAGTGCTCGGCATTGTTCCTGATTTGGAGAGCCGGAGGTTCATTGTCGAATCAGCCCGGTTTTGCACACTGCTGTTCAGAACCAAATTCGGTCGGTCGCAGGACACGACACCCGGTTGTGCAGGGAGACAGAGCCCACCGCGTTGCGCACAGCAGCGTCGCCAGGACAACACGTCCCCAGCGCGCGGCGGCGACACCGGCGCCGACGCACGGATGACGGCAGCGCCAGCGACCACGGCACCATTGAATGCAGCAGCAGCAGCAGCAGCAACCCAACAAGATGGAGCAGGAGTGTTTCAGGTCGACAACGTCGATTCCGAGGTTGAACATCCCGCCACCCCCGCAGCAGCAGCACCAGCGCCGGCGGTGACCGCGAGAGAGGCCCTCCGGCACAGCTTTACCGTCGGGCTCTCCGGGGGCGGAGCCACCGTCTTCAGCGTGGCCACCATGATGTGGCTCCACACCATCATCACCTACCAGCAGCGCCACGGCACAAAGTTCGGTGAAACATGCAAGGTACATCTGCTGTATGTGATGACGGAGTACACGTAATGACGGACACCACGGGCCACATGTACGGCCGCTTGCTGTAAGTCGAATGTCAGATGCGAGCCACATCCATTGCAGTCGGAGGCACAGGGAGGTGTCAGAAGCAAGCAGCATCTATGAGACTCCGTCGCTGTAGTGAGAGGCAGGGGGGTTGGTGGCCCCGTTCAATCCAAGTGGCGCCGGCGGACCCCGCTGGTGGTGTTCGTGATGAGCATGCGTAATAACCAACTTTTGTATCGACAGGAGCGGCAGGATCAAACCCCGTATGCTGCATGTAGTAAGACTAATGGCACATCGGGCAACGTGAGCACCAAACACGAGCATTGCTCGCTGCAATACATGGTGTGTTTTTGATATTGTCTTAAGTACACCTTGCACGGATCATGTGGCACATGTGCGCACAGCATGGACCGAGACCCAACCAACTGGTTGACGGAGACTTGCCAGGCCTGTACTCTTGGTTTCTTCGGTAGGTATACTTGTAAAGCACTTTTGTTGAATGCCCAATATTACGCGGCATACAAACCAACGACGAAGAGTTCAGCGGCCGGAGCGAAACGAATAACACAAGAAGACTATTTCCTCTCCCAATGTTTTCGGGCACGGGGGGCGAATCCCTGAGACGTCTCCGTCAGAGCGACTGAAGTGGATTGGAGGTAATCACCGTTCCCTTTCTCGCAACGCACGAGAACCCCGTAGAAATGTCGACGCCGGGAATCGACCACCTCGAAGGGTTGTTTGTGTTACACATAGGTTAACGGGCCACTCGCTTCAAGCTCTTAGTCAACGCTGACGGGGTGATCTCAGAGAATACTGCTTGTACCCCCTGAACACTATCACGGTGAGTCTGTATTTTTTTCCCTACTTGAGCATCGACTTGTATTGTACCTTTGAGCTAGAAGGCTTGGCCGTAGGAAAGCCGGACGTCGAAGCACGCCTGTGTTTCTTTCAATTAGAATCGGCCGCGCTGATGAGCTAGGCAACGAAAAGAAGTTTTCCGCGCGCACAGATGCGTTGTTCCTGCCCCGGATTTCGCGTCTTTGCCGAGATTCTTCGGTACAATTGTAGAAGCATCCCTTAACACCGGCTCAACTGCGCGGAGAGTTCCGTTCAACGTCGTTTACCCTTCCTCCCGCCACCTCGCGTGTTGTGTCTGATTGCCGCTTGTCCGAACCGTCACACGAACAATAAAAACGACAACGGCGGCGGGCGGCCGGTGCGAACAGATTCTTTGGCGACAGGGCGGGCCGCGACGATTCTACCGCGGTGTGCTGCCGTCCCTGGCGTCGGCGCCTCTCTGCAGGTTCGGTGACACCCTCAGCAACGAGCTCGCGATGGTTTGGTTCCACGGCCAACAACAGAGAAGCAGTTCGGGAGGGGTAAACGGCACCAGAATAAGCGGAGGGCGGGGAGACCGGGTTGATACCAAGCTGCCGGTTTGGGTGGCGACGTTTTTGGGATCGATGGGAGCGGCGGCGTTCCACGCGGTGGTGGTACCTTTGGATACCTACAAGGTGTGTGAGGCTTGGCGTAATTGCTGTTTTGTGTTTATTTTTGTGGTTGATTTTAGGGCCTCTCCTTTCCGTTCCGACCTACCCCCACAGCCTGGGCTATCGAGTGTTTCTTTTAGAGCGCTCCGCGCGGCGAGATTTGTTCAACCTCCGAACCGGAGTCTGAGTTTCGGTGGTGCTGTGCGTTTTTTTTCATTTGTAGTTGTTGGTCGCTACAGTGCCCCAAGACAGTGAAAAGGCGTCTCGAACGTCTTTCCTGGTTTGGCATGCCCAAGGGGTTGCACAGATATGTTGATCCAACGCTCGCATGATCGACCTTAGTCGATAGGAGAGACGTCGTCATCCCAACCGGTACTAGACGAGAGTGCCGGTTTTGCTCTTCCAAGAAAGACCACGGGATAGAGGCCCGTCATCACGTGCCACAGGAGCTGCCCCCACCCGTTGTTTTTCTTAAGGGTCGCTCGTTGCATCGTCCTCTTGTGGGGACAACGGCTAGAAACCTGTGTGCGTTAGGGTTGGGTTTGTGGTGCTATACCCGTTATCGTATTCTGATCCCTTCGTTTTAGCCTGAAGTTCTCAATTGAACGACCGTGAAGTGTGCCAAGGGGGTGGCGACTCTTCATTCGAGGTACGAACCGGAAGTGTCATGAACGGTTCCTCGGTTTTCCGCCAGGTTGTCTGCCAAATGAGAATCTTCGAATGATCTTCCTCGGTATGACTCCTCCGGGTTGTCACGCTAAATGCGCCTGCGACTGATGTTTGTTTTTTCGTTTTTTCGCATGTTAGCTCCTCGATTTTTTCTTCCCCCGAAAACAACGCGTAAAATGAGGCGTTCTTCCTCTCTATGACTCCCTCCTCCAGGTGATCATGCAGGTGGACGGAAAGGAGGGTTTGGCCGTGATGAAAAGGCGAATAGCGACGCGCGGCCCGGTCGCGGTCTACGACGGGGCGCTGGCGTTCGCGGGGGGGTCGCTGATGGGGCACTACCCTTGGTGAGCCTTTTTTTTTTTTTTGCTTTTCATGAAGACTATGAGCGCCGAGCACGAGACGAACGTGCCGCGCCTGAGATATGAGGAATGCCGTCTCGAGCACCTCGTTCGGTACATCGTCTCCCCACCGTGGAGTACAGACAATTTCATACCGAGGGACACTGACAAAGGTTGGGGCCAAAATGTGTGGTCCTTTTATTGAAGCGCCTTCTCGTTTTTACTTTCTGGGCGATTCTGTCTCTTTTCCCAGGAGAATTCGCTTTATACTAAAATATGCATGTTAGAACACGCATGTTACGTTTTTCTGGACAGCGGCACAGTTCTGGCGGTCTCTGGACGGCAGGATTACTGTGGATTTAGGCCCGTGTTGCGTTAATTTGAGGTTAGTTTGCCCGGGTGGACAAGTTTCAGACCCGACATGGAAACCAGCGAATAAGCAAAACTGTATTTGAAAGTATCAGATGTTTTCTAGACCTCGTTATGTTGTGCTTCTCATGACACCGGGACCGGCCGCTGCTGCATTCAAAGCGTGACGTAAGATTGAGCATGCTTTTGTTTGTTCCTGTTTTCGAACCTACGCAAGCTATCGATGCTTGCTCTGGCGCACCGCCCAACCGATTTGTTGTTTCGGCGTTTCTTCCTATCTCTCTGTCTTGGAACAGGTACTTGACGTACAATTTGTTGGAGCAGAGCCTTCCAAGGACAGCAAAAGGCGAGGGGAGGAGCCGGAGAGCTCGGAGCGCCTTCATCGGTGCGGCGGCATCGATAGTCTCGGCGGCGGCGTCGAACGCTTTCCGCGTCCTCAAGGTTTACAGGTGGGCTTTAGGTCGGTCTCGAGCATTGCGTCCCCAGAACTGGAAATTTTGAAACGCTCGCACACACTTTGTCATTGGTCAGCCGGTTAGCGCGGCCAATGCTAACCAAGAAGACAAGCGAAAGCGAAACACACACACATTGATGTACATGGTAATTGTCGGTCGAATGTATCTACAAGCATCTCTTTTCTGGCTTCAACAGACTCAAACGATGCCAATTATCCAGCACTTTTGTCTCCCCCACACTGCGAAGACTCTCAACACATCCCCTTAGACTGTTGTGGTATTTCATCGTAAGCGCACGTGGTATCTTTGTCGACTGGGATGAGGAAGGACGAACTAGCCCCATTTAACATGAATGTCAATTGTGATGTCCAAGGTGGCAAGCAATCAAGGGCGACGATCGTTCAATTTGAACCCTCACGGAAGCGTGTCATGAACTGCTGTGTTTATTGTGTGCGTGTGGGATGAGTTTGACTCAAACCCAAACAGTTATTTAGCACACCCTGAGATCCCCTCAGCAACGGTTTTGAACTCGGAAGCTCCACACGGGCGCCTTCGTCTTACGCGTTGCTCATGTACCCCCCCCCCCC